TTCATCCTTTTTCTGCTATAACTTTCCTCTTGGTGATCAAAAACATTTCTACATCAACCTTCTTTTTTAAAAAAATCAAGTATAAGAATGCTATTATTTATTCCTGACCAAATAAAACTTTTGGAAGGATTCATTCAGAGAAAATAAGTATGAAGAGGTTATGTGAAACCTGAGATGTAAAATTACATGTATTAAAAAATAAGATTTATTTCCTGATAGCAGGAAAATAAAAATAAATGTATCAAAAAATTTTCTACAAGGTAGATAACCACATAGGTTCCAATGTTATACAGCTTAAAACTCTTACCTTGCTTCGCAACAAGATTTTTAAAAACACACAAAAATTCAAGGATCCTTTTCAAAGTCTCCCAGGCAAATTCTCCTTCTGATGAGATGTCAAAGCTGGGGCTAAACAGCTTTTATGTTCTCTAGGCCACCAATGGCTTTCATACTTTTCGACTATGACCCCCTCATTAGTTAACGTACTTTATATCATTACTTAGACACACATACATACGTACATACAAATATATGTGTGTGTGTGTCTGTGTGTACACATACTGAAACAAAGCACTGATATTTTTTTACTGCTTCATCCAGAAAAAAAAAATGCTTAATGCCAGCTTATAAATGCAGAAGAAATCACAGAATTAGAAAAATCACTATTTTGTAAGCACCAAAATAATAATTGCTACAAAATATCATCAGTGTATACTAAACCACTGGGTAAAAACAAAAGGATTTTCACACAATCTCAAAGTATCACTCCACATAGTATTTATTAATTCCAAAGGGAAAAATATACCTTTACAATGAAGACATCTAGGAGATACTGCTGTACCCAAGTGGTTAAACTTATTACATAATGGGACAAATGTCATTATGTGCCTATCCTTAATATGATTCAATGGCATGTATGCCACATCATCTATGTAGTACCAAGGATTTTTCTGAAATACTTTAGTTATTGCTGTATATACCAATGCCTAGAATAACCTTAACATTTTCTAAAACATAAATTATATGACCAATAATAACAAAAGTATTAATATTTTTGATGAATAAATTTTGGCCTAAGAATAGTGCATTTATTCTTATATAGTATCTATTACAACTGTATTATTTGTGATGTAAACACTTTCAAAATTATAAAAGCATACCTGATATTTGGCTAATTCTGCTTGTAATACTTTCACTTTAGACCTTTCTTGTTCTAATGCAGCATGAAGTGAAGTCACCTATAACCAAATGTTCAATTTAAAAAAAGACTTTTTGTCTTTGTAGGTAAATACTCTTAATTCTTAACACTTATTCACAATGATGGTTTTTGACAATCAGATGAATGAGCATCAGAACGAGAACCCCTCCCCATCACCCCAATTTCAATTAGGCATTTTATTCAGCTGTATATTAAAGATACATAGGACAAGCTCACTGTTCTAGACCACAGAATAAGGACTGAAGGGGAGAAAATCAAGTCCAAGAGCAGGGTAAGTTTTATCTGCCCTTTCTATCTCTATATTCATAGTCCACATCAACTAAAATACAACCTTATTATCTTCCTCTATTCTTCAGGACATACATACCTCTCTTACACAGTAAAGAGAATCATTATTCATTTGCTATTACATAATAATGAAGTATAATTTATATCACTTTCTTGCAGTGTTCATGGGCTGCGTTTTTGTTTAATCAAGTTTCATAATTCAAGACTAAAGGACAGCTTAAGAAAGCCAGTCTTATATATAGTTTTCCTTACCTGTATAGTTAGCTCATTCTTGATACTCTGTGATTCATCAACTTGCAGAAGTATTTCTGCTTTATCTTTCACTAACAAAAAAGGAAAAAGAGTAGCATAATCTTTTCAATCACTCAAATACTTTAACAATAGTGAACCAAGACAGCAATACATCCAAGATAAAGATCGTCCTCATACTTAATGAATGTATTTCTTGACCCCATATAGCTCTTATTTTTCCCAGGTAAATGCTGATCATTATCACCACAGCAGGTTTTCTTGGAAATTTTATTTATTCTTCTGTATAGGATGAACAAGTAAGTTTTTCCATCTATACTAAAAACGACTAGGACACAAGAAAATAAAACATTTCACCAAGGGAGAAAACTTTAAATACCTTGACTAATTTTCAAGATCAAAAAAATGTAGAGTGTTTCTGTTTGCTGTTTTGTTTTGTTTAAAATTGTCAGGATCAGCACACAAGGCCCACAAACATTAGTTTTATCTCACATTTCACACCAATAAAACATTCTCAAATAAATGTAGCTCATATGATCATAACTAATCATATAACATCTGTGGTCTCTCAGAAGTATTCATTTGTCTCGAGGATTTCCCTCTATGGGGAAGCAAGAGATCTATATTTTGGCCCCTATGTTTCTTAAGCTTTAAAGATCTCCACATGGCTGACAAATTCCTTAATCCATGGTAATGGCTAATGGATGAAAAACTAACTCAACTTTCAAAACAAGCTAGGAGAGATTGAAGAGGTAAAATTGTAAAAAAATTGGTAAAGGAGGAAATGTTTAAATATTTTAGAGTACTGATATCACCACAGCTATACCAATATAACACTGTAATTCAGATTTATTTTTCATAGTTTAATATGCAATAAGGTGTAACACTATCAATAAACAAATCAGTCTCTTAATGTCAACTTGGGAACTTTTACAAATTATACTTTCTACTCCATCTCCAGAATTAAACACACACGCACACTGAAAACTAGTAATTTTTCATAATTATGTAATATTTTAATTACAATCAGTTTTCCTATAATGGTTGTTTCAGTGACACTGATGTTTTAGAGAACAACTTAAACATAACAGGAATTTTTTATTTGCTGAAGCACAATTTCGTGAACACAAACAACTGCACCAACACACACATCTCAAATATCACCAGCTATCTCAAATCAGTGTGTTAAGAACCACACCAACTTTCAAGCCTTTTATCACACCAGGAACACAAAAGCTGCAGCCCTCTGAAGCCTACTTCTACAAGTAAACTAGGTTGTGTTCAAGGTAAAGTGCTATATTTATTACAGTGTTTATGTGTTTAACCATTTTAATATGTATAAACTGTTTTACTATTTATTAGATTTCTATCTGTTTTTTTAATGTGTCACTAATAAAGCTTTTGAGTGTTGTATGCTCCTAACTCCATTTCCCCCCTAAACCTTGTGGTTTTGTGATTTTTCAAAGATGGGTGGTTTTTAGGAACACGTTACATTATAACAGAACCGACTGCATTTACATTTATATTATAAATGCTACAATATGTATACTCTAATGTACTGTGAATATTTTTCATGTAATGGCCCTATATAAAATTCTTCTACTTGGATTATTTAGAGTATGGAGTATGGACACTGATTTTATTTACTGGTAGCCATTTTTAATCCATTAATGAGAGTAAGCTTTTATTTGTTAATTTTCTCACTGTTTACAAATATTTCCTTAACTAAGGAATATTTATTTTTACATATTTAAAAATCATGCATCCAATGTCTAACGATACCCTTAATTTTTTCAATTAGAAACATACCTTGCAAACAATTATTTTATTTTCATATTATTTATTAAATGATCCACATGAAGTTAAGTAACATGCACAGATCTAAATGAATCTCATTAGTATGTTGATATCTAATTGCCCAACTAATGCCTTTCTCCATTCTTCTTTAACTTCTATTTTATCACAGTTAAGCTATATAACAGTTAAGGTATAGTTATAAAAAATATAAAAGTTATAAAAAAATAAGTTTGAATCTACTTCCAGATTATATATTCTGCTCAGTTGGACCTGATTTCTGGTTTTTACTCATATTGTTTTGATAACTGTTATTTAAGAATAGAGTTTAAATTTTGGTTGGGTAATTCCACTCCCAGTATCATCATATTTGAAACAATTGTTTGGTCTTATTTACTTATTCTTAAGGTGAGTTTCAAAATCTCTTAAGTGCTATACAGTACTCACAGGAGCTATATTTGGGATTTCATTAATACTTACAGGGAAAATTGTTTATTAATTTTGTTTATTTAGAAGATTTTTTCATTTATTCATGTCTTTTTCTATATCTCTTTTATAGTTTACAATTTCCTTTGCATAAACTTTGTATTAAAAAAATTAATACACATTTTCTTTTCTGTTATGAATGGAAAATTTTCATAGAACTTCCAAAGTAAGTGTCACTAGGTAAACAGTTAGGAAATTAAGTGATTTGTGGGTGATTAGTACACCAACTGTACTAATCTTATTACCTCTAACCATTTTTTATTAATTTCTTTAGCTTCCTGCTGGTGGCTTATTGCCAGAAGTTTAGAGTAGCAGCAAAACTGAAGAGTGGTGGGTCAGGAAAAAGGAAAACCTAAAGTGATAATAGGTCTTCTTCATTAATAATTAAAAAGCAGAATCTTAAGCCAATGTTATTCTTGTTTTCCTGCTAAATGCAGTCTAATCATTTATAAGAATTGATATTTCAAGATTTCTCTTATCTGAATAGTTGTAAACTTGTATAATACCTAAGGTGGTATATAGTGACTTGTAATATCAGCAACAATCCAGTTTGTACCATTCTGGGAGACCATTCTATTTTGTTGAGTTAATAAATAAAAAATATTTTTTAAGATTAACTTTTAATTCTAAAAACACAAAAATCACTTACTTTCACCTTCCTGAAGCATTTTCAATAATTGTGCATTTCTTGCCTTTACTTCTTTATATTTTGCCTAATAATCAAAGAAAAAAGATTTATTTTTTAAAAGGTAAATGGTGTAATTAATAACACTATCAATGTATGGAGCTATGAATTCTTGGCTTGCTCAAAGACGTAAGTTATTTTTTAAAGAAACAAGATGGAGGAAAATGTATTCAGAACAGTCTACTCCTAAAATTCAATCTCTGGTATAATAGTAGAAATTAATATTATAGGTGATTGAAAAATAAAGAGGGATAAAAATGAATAAAACTCAGGAAAATATTAAACTTTCCTCAAGACTTTCCTTTTCTTCCTCAAAAAAAAACCCTTAACAATTCAAAATAATTCGATGAAAAAAAAAATGATTCATAGCTCTATACCAGGTCTATTCAGTACTATACTAGAACTTTCTGTATCTGTTTTATATCAGCCACTGTCCAATATGTGGCTATTAACTACTGGAAATGCATCTAGTGTGACTGAAAAANGCCTATCTGTTGAGTGTCTGCCATGTGCCAGGCACTGTGCTAGATGCTAGATAATGTACCAAATGGATAATATGCAGGCAGATAATCAAAGCAGATGATAACACAATATGCTTTTGGGAGGGGGGGTTCTTTTGTTATTAGCATCAGCTAGAACTATATGTAGCAATAAATTTCATACACAGATGGACAGAAAATAAAAAAGATGAAAAAAAGGAAAAAGGAAGAGAAACAGGAGTAGTGGTAATTCAGTTCATTACCTACTTGGGTAATTCAATTATAATTCAAACTATTCTGATTCAAGTCCTGTCTAGCTTGTTCATATAAGACATTAGAAATTGATTTTCTTCATCGCTGGGTTGAAAAATATGGTAACATAGAATAGTAACATATATATTTACTTAATGAATTAGGTTCTAATGGTACCTATTCTTAATTTTTAATCAAAGTTAAAATTTGGGAAACACTATCTCAAAAACCTTTACCATTTAAATAATTCTTTAGCATCTCCTCTGTGCCACACAGAGGACCAAGCACTGAGAATATAGGGAACAGAAAGTCGCATTTCTTTGCAAGGTTCATGTAACCTTATGGAAAAACCCAGACATGTATGCAATGATGACATTAAATATTTTTTTGTTCAAAGACTGTGTAAAGTGGAATTTTTCAAAGAATGCTGGTTTTGGAGGCCAAGACCAGTATTTATGTATTCATCTTCGTTATAAAACCAAAAAGTTCTTGGCATTTTAATGAATATTTGTATTTCACTGACTACAGTAAAAAAGTGAATCCCATAAGCTACTAATTATTCTAGTAATTGATTGTACCAATGAAAAATCTCTCATTTCTCCCCCACATCAATATTCTTTGTAGTCTCAGTGTGCCACATTTCTCTCCTTGGGCCAGACAGTTGTTTAAACAAACATTTCAGCCCAGAGTTTGTTCCTTCTCCTTAGAATGCCTTTCAACAAATTTACAGAAAAGGTATCTACCCTCCAAAAACTATCTCATATAAGTTTTCTCAATTTCCAAGCAACATGATATCACACTCTAATCTGTATGGTAATTATTTTTGCTGTTGTCTTTACCCAACCCACCCTCTATTTCTTCTAAGCTTAAGCTACTTGAGGATATCAACCATTTTTCACTCATCTTATATGTCCCATAGAGTTTTTGCATGCAGAAAGTGCTGAGTATTCACTGAACTTAGATGATCCAATTAACTGGTTGTGCTATAAGCAAAAATAATACTTTCACATTGATTCTGAAACTGAAAAAAATCAAACATAATGGAAGAGTGAATTAATTTTATTGACTGATGAAAAACTAAAGTGATAAGAAGTATGGGCAGTAAACAACAATCACTGAGTTCTGCTGGAATTCTATTTTTCTTCTTTTCACTTTAAGCCAAAAGGACAAAAAAACCAGACTGTTAGTGAGCTAATCGTTTTAAGTATTTCTCCAACAAAAACTGCATAGTTTAGCAGTTGTACAGCATTAAATATATACATTTTTGCAAAACCCTGAAAAGTTTTAATTTTTGTGTTGACCTCAAAGGCTAATGGAATCACCTACACTGGTCGTATTCAGAGTTTCTTTTCCCTTTTCTGCCACCCTGTAAAGAAAAATAGGGCAAATTATTTAGGAAATACCATTTTGGGGGCATTTTCATTTTAAGAATATATGAAACCAAAGGCATTTTTTGGTGTGAGAAGGAAGCAATTTATTTTTTGAGTTTGTTGAGAGTTTGAATGCGATATTACTAAATTATTTTTACATGGTTATTTTTACAAATGGTTAATGTTGGTTGTTAATTCTATTTGAATTAGTATAGACTTAGTAAGATCACCAATATCTTATTTATTAAAGCTCATTTGGACTGTCCTAGTTTGTAAAATAAACATTTTGATCACTACTGAAACAATTTATTCCATATGATGAACAAATTTGGTAATTTAGTTCATGACCCTTTTAGGTAAATCAATTTCTATGCAAGTTTTATCTAGGCTTGTTCATATTGGCATTAGAAATCTGGTTTTTTTTCATCACTGGGTTGAAAAAGAGGTTATACTTTTCATATGGCTCAGTGACACATATACATCTGTATTGAATGTGCTCCAACTGAAACTACATCTGTGGTGTTTGACTTCAGCCAAGGAAAGAGAAAAGCAGCTTAAAAGACAAGTATTTTACATTAATTCCTTTTAACATCACATTTTCTGCCTTATTCTGATTTAAAAAGTAAATACTATAGAAATATGGAAAGTACAAAGTAGAAAATTAAAATCACCAATAACTACTCTACCTCCCATTTTAACCATAAATAATGCTTTGATGTATTTTTGCCTTACAATTTTTTTTAGTTTTTTCTCCATTTTTACAAACTATGGCAATGGTACTCAAATTTAGTTCATCATTAGAATCACCTGAGCAGTAATATTTTTAGAATTCTGATGTCTAGACTTTGTCCCAGACCTATTTATTTACAATTACCAGGAGTGGGCCAAGCTATCTGTAATTCAAAAAGTTCCCAAGTGATTCTAATGAGCAGCCAAGTATGGGAACTACTTGTCTGTGGAAAGTACATTTCTTAAAATGGTGATTATATCAGGGGTACATGAACCTGGGCCCATTTAATAATGTTGGCAGCTTCTCCTTGTTTTTTTCATCCTTTTTCTGCTATAACTTTCCTCTTGGTGATCAAAAACATTTCTACATCAACCTTCTTTTTTAAAAAAATCAAGTATAAGAATGCTATTATTTATTCCTGACCAAATAAAACTTTTGCAAGGATTCATTCAGAGAAAATAAGTATGAAGAGGTTATGTGAAACCTGAGATGTAAAATTACATGTATTAAAAAATAAGATTTATTTCCTGATAGCAGGAAAATAAAAATAAATGTATCAAAAAA